TCAACATCTGCCGCCAGGGAAACGTAATCAGTTCGTGTACACAAACTATAACATCTTGAGAACTCTAACTTTTTGCGTGGAAATGGAAAAAAAAATCACATTTTCAGAGACTTTTTGAGCTCTGGGATGAACATAGGCTGCCAAAATATTTAAACGAAGTTATCTATTGAACTTTTTTTCCCTTTTTTAGTCGACAAAGATAAACAAGCGCCCAATAGCAGGAGGGAGGACAGAGGGTATGAATGTTTTACCTGTGCATAGACGTCCATCTCCTGTGAAGCCTTGTTTGCAACTACAAGTAAATTCACCCTCTGTGTTTTCACAATCGGCATCTTGGTGACAGTCATGGGCTCCATCAGTGCATTCATCGATATCTAAAAGAATGATAACAAGCTAAGGGTGGCGTAGATTGATATCGCTAATACCTCACTCTTATCAATATCTGTTCAATAGAATGATGATTTTTTATTCACTGAAAAGTTTACAGCTCAAGTTACTAACTCTACATTAAAAGCAATCTAGCGCTACAATTGAGGAATTGTAGCGGAGTTCTGCCATAAGTGGGACTTTCAAGTTCCTTCCGTTCGTTTTAGGTGAACATTGTTAATAATTTTCGAACAATCACTCCGTATTCTGTATGAGACAAGTTGATTTTTACCTTTGGTCATACCACTTACCTTTGAAAGATAACTCCACAACAGAGGCCGATTATGTATAATCAATTTTTTCCTCTTGTCATTGTTCTCCTAGTCTCCCCCTTCCCACCTCCCCCCCCTCTTTTTTTAGCATCTTGAGAAGTTTATTTAGTCAGCTTAGCATACAGAAATCCTTGGGTTTCTCGAAATAATGTTGCGGCTGTAACACCAGTAGTTCCCACCACCCCTTTCAAGCTTTTCATTTTTACCTATTGTTGTTTTTCTTGTCCAAATATGGTATGTTGTGAAACTTGCATATAAGGAGACCTCATTACCATTTTAAGCGTGACGCTTCAGGGAACCTGGAGAGATGTAAGTCAAAATGTCAAAACTAACTTACCGCTACAAGATACACCGTTGCCAGTAAAACCAACTGTACAAGAGCATGTAAAGGCTCCAGGAGTATTGGTACATGTGGCTTGTGAGTGACAATTATGGCTTCCTGTGGTACATTCATCGTTATCTAATGACAAGGAAAAGACAACAAAGCAATAAACAATTTGTCCTTTCTAAGACAAGGACAAAGCAGATGGTTAAAAGAACTAATGAGGAAATTATGTCAATTCCTAACCGTGGGAATTCCATGAAATTATCTTTTTAACTTATTTAATCGGAAGATGGGAAAAAATCGCGATATAATCGATGTCGGACAAAACCTTATTCTGGGCAGAAATCAATCGTAAAGGCCAACCCCTTTAGTCCTTTAGCGTCATTAACGACCAATGGCTTTCCTTCCAAAGTATTTCAACTTTCTCGTTTCATTAGGATTCACTTAAAATCTAAAATGTGAAGCTTTACTCAAATTTGTACTAAGTACGAAAAAAAAAAACAAACTATCAAATGGGAGGGAAAAATACTATTTTTCGATTTTTTTCTAAGCGATGAAGCTCTAAACCAAGCTTCCTAGAGGGAAGTGACTACCATCAATCAATTTTATAGCCCACATACCTCGACAAGGAGTGCCTGAATAACCAGATGGACAGATACATGCAGTTGAGCCAGGATTGGTAGAACATGCATCGTTCTCATCTGTTGAAGACGAAATCATTCTAACAAAGAAATTACTTAATGGCTTAATGCCCAACTAATCATGAGTAAACCAAATACTAAAGCGCCCACGTGTACCCACAAGCATCATAAGTGCTTCAATTTTCATACTAAATCAGCACTGATAAAGGTACTTTTGAATCTTACCAAAACATGGTATGTCCACAGTTTCGTTAGATATTGATAGAATTACCTAAATATTATAGGAAAAATTCCATAAAACAGATTGGGACGCCATGATTGTTTTGCACTTTTATTTGCCTGGGTGTTCTTTATTCATCAA